CCCTCCCTCGTTTTGAGTCAGCTCGAAAAATAGGGTAACCGTCTATCGAGATCTCCGCGTCAGGGGCATCTGGTGTGAGCCAGGTCTCTGTGAGTGCGATTATGGACGGTTTTTCAAGGCAAGCTGACTGTTAAACATCGCCGAGTTTGTTGAAAAGGCTGAGGCAGTTTGTGGGTAAGCATTTCAACACTGCCTCTGCTTCCTCCGAGGGTGAGGAGATAGCTGTGGACACTTTTGATATCCGCACAATTCCAGAAGGTCGATCAGCTGCTTTTTCCGAGGCTCAGCTTCAGCACGCACTACTGTAAAGCAGTTGAACCTCGACTGTATCTACTTGCACGTTAACCATATGAGCTGACGTGCACCGCTCCCTCTCTCTCTCCCTATTGCAGGTACCACGGACGAGACACCACGAGCTCCCGACAGGAAAGAGTATCCTGCTTGTACAGCCCCCTTATTGATCTTGACCCATCATTGTACCCACGACTTCCGCTTTCTGTTCAGGTTGAATACATGTGTGTTGTTGCCACGCTCCGATTTTCTCTTCTGTGTCACCCGACCTGTGCGAATGTGTGCCGTGTGGATTCAGTAATACCAATGTCTATATCTGCACATTTTGGAACAAACGTGTGCCGTTACTGCATCCTCTCGAACGTCGAATACCGCTGACATTCTGACGTCCCACGCTACTTTGCGGCGCGTAGCTGGACAAACAGGATCCGGTAGAAAGTTAGGCCATGAAAGTGAGTCCTCGGGTTCGAAGCCACATCAACCAATTTCAAAGTATAGTGGCTAGGCAGAATTCAACATGGATACCGCTATACCGCTCGCAGTTGGGCGCTGCTACAACCGGGAAGCACATTCTGTAGAAGACTGGTCGAAATTTCGGATCGCTCGCCGGTCCGGCAACAAGCCGAGCTCCGATTGGTCGGAAGTCTGGGCCCAACAGCCAATCATGGCCAGCATTGGCCGAATGCCGGCTGCCAAGGCGCACCCAGAAAGCGTCAGGATTTTCATTTCGTTGTGGGTTACATTATGTATACGACGCGCTGTACAGGTGCTCTCGCCTCAGTTTTGCGCGTTAACAAACATTGTGCACCTCTGTTGGTCGTTTTGACGGCAACGGTAGCTTGAGTATTCAGACTGAGTACTTAGCTCAAGAAAATGCTGGTTTTCACTTAGCCTCAGAAGTTCGACACAAGGCATCGTGAACACACTCATCTGTTGGGTAATGAAAACAGTCAGTGACTGTTACACCCCTGCGCACTTCCCTGTATACCTCCCTTTTTGCATCCATTTCGGATTAAAAGGTCGCCAGTGGTGCGGAACTTTCACCATGGGTTCCGCACTCGGGTGCGAAGTTGATCCACCTAAGCTTCTTCCCCACACTAAAATTCGGTGTCTGGGCACAGATGGACTTCGGTCTCCGTTAGGATGTTCGTCTACATTTTGTATGAGGCCGTCATCCTGCAGCACCTAGACAGACGGAAGACCTTTGGGTGCGTACTAATGGCGTCTCCGAGAGTGGGAATGAAATGTTTGTTGGTGAATCGCCAATTTCGGAGAACAGGTGAACAGCCACTTGATCGACTACGAATAGTCCCAAGTATTCCTCTCGCCCCAGCACGAGCTCAATCCGTGTGGGCTAATGTCTTGAGCATATCCGGGGTCATCACTCCGAGATCCTTGTCACACTAGTGCATCCCAACTAGAGACCCTTTTTGACAAATTTTCGTGGATAATACGCAAATGGTTGCATTCATTCGGGTTGATATGCAGTGTCAAAGCGTGCATTCTAACTAGAAAATGGCCGCTATTTCGTTTGCGGCTACATTTGTGGTGTAGTGAACGAAGCCTCACATAATGTTCATGTCTTCTCAGCTGTGTGGGCTCGTCCATGTCTATCTAACCGTCGCCTATTCTATCACATCCTCACGCGAAGTCATTAGGCCGAACTTTGGCTGGGGCTACATGGCAGCAGGCCTTTTGAGGGAATCACGACAGAGTGAAACGAATCGTATTTTTGTTCCTTAAGACATCCAGCCCGATCATAATAAAGTATCAGAAGGTTGTCTACGGACTCCATATTTAGGAGCCATTTCTACAAATAGCTTCAAGATGCCAGCTAAGTACCTTCCAAGGCAATCCTCACGGCTGCGCGTTGATCCTACTGAGTCATGTCATCAACACACTCCTAAAAACTGCCACGCGGCTGCGTCATGATCGTCACTTGTGAGTGAGTCTAATGTCAACACTAGTTTCCAGCCCCCTCCACAGGGACGTCCACTAATGCTCTACTCACGTGTTCCCATAGCAGGTCAACTTCACTCTATTCCAGTCTGGTTAAGGTAGACTTCACTTATGGGAGAGTACCGGTTTTACAGAGTAGAAAACAGAAGTCCTTTCGTTCGGCTCACGCTCTTGTTGCCGCCCGTCCAGTTTTCCGCCGGAAACTGCCCCCGTTACCCTGATCCAAAGTAGTTATGTTTCAGCTGTGGGCCTTTTTCGGAGCCTAGCTATCGTGCCACCCAACGGTAGCACGAGAGCCGAGATACTGACACTGCCCAAGCCTAGACAGGAGCAACAGTGATGCAGAGGTCGAATTCGAACCACGAACGACAGACCTTTCGGTCAGTAAGTTCGTGGCTTAACCACTAAGATATCCCGAGCTCCTGATTCAAGGTTGCCCTCTTGAAACAACCGGAAACCCAACAAGGTGTTTCAGCGTTCGTGACTGCGCAGTCGACAGCGACCATGGACGAAGATGAACTGGTTGAAACTCCAGGAGACGAAATGAAGACTGCCATTCAGTCTTATGTGGCGACCCATCATGTCACGACACCCGAACGTTTTGGCCTCTGAAACCTTTCAACTCCGAGCTGTTGCTAAGAAATGTGGACCCAACCGCTTGTGGAAACACGTGTCTCCGTGGTGACTTTGGGACATCACCCCATCTACTCTTCGCGGCTCAGCTAGTCTACGGCAGTCCTACTATCATAGGTCAACGAAATACCGATGTGGATACTTAACTGCAGAGCATGTCTGCATGTTTCTCTGAACTGAAAGCCTAGCTGTGCAGTCAGAAACTATACCAATCATATTTTAGCCGCCTTAAAATAACTTCTGCAAAGCACTTCACAGAAAAGAAACATCTAGGATCATTTCGGGCCCGAAATGATAGATCTCAATGAAGGTGGTATCAAACCAAAAATCTGCAAGGCTTGTACAGCACCAACCACTGGCTATTTCATAAGGCTGCGAAATATGAGCAGGAAATTTTGAGATAACTCCGATGTCCGCCCCAGAAAAAGGTGACGAAACTATTCCTGTCATGCGCAGACCCTATTTCCGAGCCAACGTCAAAGAGAGGGGTGCTGGTCAAACAGTCATTGATTTCTTAGGTATCCAGTTGACTCATGCTTTCTACCGATCAGGGTTTCTTATGCAAGACTCGTGTGTAAATAATGTATCATGGGGCCTGTGTGAAATCAGTGTACTGACCTTACTTTCACCTAGTTCTCTATAATCACGAGATTCTATCCTTGGGCTTTAAAAATCCTTAGAGGTTAGAGGTTTTCAGTCACTGGCGTCTTTGGAGAAGGCTCGCCTTGTGGCGTGGTTCCCTCTACTGAAGCCGTACGCAAACGAAGCTGAGAACAGTAATTCAGCGTCTCCAACTTTGGTAATTAGGACGCGTCCTAAGGAAAGCATTCATATATTTCATGCAGCAAGTGCTCCCATGTTCTAACTCGCTGCTCCGACTTGATGAACGGGTTGGATAATTGCTCAGTGCAATCAGAGCTGATGTCGATAGGCTGGGTCTGTATCACTTTCAATGCGAGTGTCGGTATAATAAAGTGTGAATCAACATCCGCGTCAACTTCTTTTCAGATCAGCACGCGCGAGATACCACAATATGAGGCGTCGGTAGGAGCAGCTCATCTGCAAACTGGAGATGGTGATCGTAACGTTAGTAAACTGAGTATACTGGTTGAATGGCAGCTATGCCCCGAAAGTACATCACAGCTGAGATCTGGTTTAACGAGTTTTTCGTCTTCCATCAAGCAGAAACCACAAGTTCAGTATGCTGATTGTTGTCTAGTGATATTTGATATTTTACTGTGACCTGCATTGCCCAGGTCAACTTTGCCTGATCATTCCCCACAACAATTTTGCAATCTTTTTTCCATCCATTTTTTGTCAACTGAACTTTATATTTCAGCTACTCCTAACATGTACGTGGCAGAGAATCCGACAACACCACCATTTGAACCGTACAAGGCTGCAACCACTATCCTTCCGGGTCATACTATCCCACCACTGCCCTCCGGAACTCGACGACTGCCGCATGAAAAGTTGCAGTTGAATGAACACAAGTCGTCTGGTAATGTACACACCATCGGCTCGTCGTGGTTAGGTACGACTCGTCTTGCTTGTCCTCCTGGTATCATTGTTCGGGAATTACCTCAAGAACTACAGCAGTATCATGCACCTGGTACAAAACGCTCCAACAAACCCATGGCTGCTGTTATACCGACCACTTCTTTGTGGCCGGAGTCTTCGGTTTCTCCAGCTTCTTCCGAGTGTTATAAGTTGCGGTCCAACTCCACGGCTGATGCATTCGTCCAAACGGATGATGTTGCCATTGACATGGATCTTTTACTCCATACTGAAGACATGCTTCGGACACAACGCAGTATTTCAGTGTCCAATGTCAGACCGACTTCTAACGTGGACAAATCCTCCATCCAACCTCGTCTATCTGATATGTATGCCCGATCGACACATGTAATCCCTTCGTCTCAGAGTGGCGATAGGGATGATCTTGAGCGGTTAAGACAGGCCCTGGTTTTGCAAAATAAGGTACTTTCTTACTTCAATTTCAACTCTGCTTTCACTGATGATCTGTGAATTCAGCATTTTAGGTTACCCTGACATTAGGGGAATTGCAACAAACCCCTTAATAAGAGCTTTTTGGATGAGGGGTACCTCACAGTTTGAAAAACTGATTCTTTAAGGGTTATCGACATTTGTTCATGGGAATGTCGCCTCAGAGACATCCAAGTGAAAAAAATCATCCGGCTTTAGCACCTTTTTTGGGCCTAACTGCCATGCCTCCCGAAGGAAGCGCGAGGGCTGGGGTCCTGCCAGGTTACCTAAGCCTGGACAGGGAAGTGGAGAGTGTTCTAACCAATAAGCCATCTAGCCGCCGACATCCCAGTGATCTGAGATTAAAAAAACCACGGTTACTTGGGACTTAGAAAACCCGTAGAGGGAACATTCATTCTCACTACACACTTTTCTGTGTGCCTCGTAAAATTATGGGAATTGGGATGAGACTTCCTAGAATGTTACATACTGCCTTCAAACTAACCCAAGCTCTCTCAGGTTGGCGTCGCTGGGTAATCTCATCAGCTTTTCTCCCTCATGTTTCCGTAAACCCGTAAATGTTAGCGTCGTCCTCGGCCAGATTGTTCCGGTGAGTGGTGACGCCACAGTAGACAACCGTCTCAGATAGTCTTTATCGGTTTATGATCCGTCACGAAGAGACTGGATCGTACCGTATTGTGACAGTTTGTGCACCTCGGCGACTCTTTGAGCTATACTGGGGAATGTACGCGTGACACGCTCAGAGTCTCTCATACCAAGTTGGTCAATGGTTATAGGTCTGACGAACACAGTCTCCCGGTCCTCTAGGTTGGGGTTGGAACATGTTAGGCGACATGTTGCGTAAAAATGGGAATGTATTTGCATTTCCAGCCCAACACTGCTGCCTTTCGGTTAGGCTTTTGAGTCAAACGATTTGGTTGAGGATCTTAATCGTCCTGTCTAGGCTTGTGTGCCCTGGCAGTATCTCAGCCGATGTACAACCATGGATCGCACATATATGAATAAACTCATGCCCCATCCGCCGTCGCGTCGTGCCGTCAACCAGTTCGCATTACTTGCTGCTTACGTCAGGGCGGTCAAGCAAAAACAGGCTACCGCTCACGCCCCCTTCGTTCTCTTTCACAGTTTTTTCTTCAGCGTCTCCCCACCCCATTATTAACTCTCTTATTGTGAGCCTAGGGCTTAGGATTGATGACTCCGTTCGCCCCGCATTGGTTTTGCAAGATACAACTGCGCGTCATCTGGCGACGGTATCTTCAGGCATCTCAGAATCTGTTACGACAGCGAAGCATCAGTGTTGAGCACTGATCTCATGCCGTCAATAATGATGGTGGAGATGATGATCGGTTTGTGGTATCGGTGGTAGTACGCAGCAGTTAGGCGAGTTCGTTGGTTACGTCAAACGGGATTCAACCTAATTCGCACAAGTTTACGATCGCCTCAGAAGTTTATGTGGTGATTTATGTTCCTTGCCAGATATTTGATAGTAAGTGTCGCGTAACTCAAAGACTGCCTTTTCAACTAACTTGACCACATGTGTGACTATTAATAGTCCGAATGTAGCCCATAATCATTCTATTTCTGTATTCTTCATTCACTGTTATCAGGATTTGTTATCTATGGGAAGATGCAGTCAGTTTGATGATGTTTCCACGGAGTAACTTCTGTGTGAATGAGCAATTCATCGGAGAATGAATAACGTCTTGATTTGGTGGTAATATACTTACAGTCGGGTGAAAACTACCCAAAGAACGTTAGCGACGGCATCTGGGCCACAGTGAAGTTTGGAATAAAAAAAAGCATAACTTCTGACACCCTTCGTGGATACCTGCACACGCTGATGTAAATTTTAAAAAGTTCGTGACTAGAAAGTGCGTCAGCGAAAAATATGGAATAGTGGGTAGTTTAACTTAAACGGTATCTTTGAGCTTTAGTTTCACCAAAGTGTTCAATCGTGTTTGTTTGTAAAATGCGTGTTGCCCATTGTGATTATACTCGTGGAATTGTGTGCCTGCCAATGTAGGCAGAAACGTAAATTTCATGAATGCAATCAATCACTTCACAATAGTTGCGTTTTAAGGTACGCGGCGATAATGAAAGCGGACAAAGTGGGCTCACTCAGAGAGGCTGTTCGTTTGCGGAGAACTTTAAAACGACCCACCTGCCGGAACTACCGCCTTTTCCACAAGGCTGGTTTGACTGGTCATGGGGTTCGTGGCTGTCTGGAGCACCCGCATAAAACCGTTTCTTACTCATAACTTCCGCGCCCACTGCTTGTGGGCGCTATGGCGAGGTGGCTCAGTCGTTAGAGCGCGAACTTACTGACCGGAAGGTCTGTGGTCCGAATTTGACCTCTGCCAATCAACCCCCGCTGTCTAGGCTTGGGCAATCTGGCAGTATCCCAGCCCTTGCTTGCCTTCCAATTCGGTTTCAAGTATAACATAAGGTTGATGGGAACTCGGGGAGTGCGCCTACCTGATGAGACCGAATCATCGGTGAACGAAACTCTGGCAGCATACTGCGCTCCAGTAGTCCTTGTCGGCTATGGTTAGACAGAATCCCAGCGAGGAAAAACCTCTCCTGTGAACTCATCTCTACTTACATCTGGGAGTGTTTATCGAGACAGCTTGCTTAAACGTATTCAGCAAATCTCGAAACCAGAATTTCACTCCTACTGGCTGGATAAAGTATATTTAGTTTTTATTTGACTTTTAATGTCTTGTGCACTCGAAGAAAGATTCATATACACACTTCAGGAAAAGTGGTTTACCAAAAGTTCCGGTTTATCTGGATTGTACGGTTAAACATGCGTTAGAAAACTGCTGGGTGTGCGGAACCAATGGGTTCGCATTGGATGCATACGGATCTTTATAGAACCGATACCTTGAACGATCCTTTTAATCAGGACGACATCATATGTGAACTATAATGATAAATAATCGTTCAGCTGTAGCGCTCTTTCGGTGCCTAGCTGCCATGTCACCCGAAGGAAGCACGAGGATACTGTCAGGTTGCCCAAGCCTAGACAGGGGAAGTCGAGAGGCAGAGGTCGGATTTGGAGGTGCAGGCACCTCAGTATGCTTGACAT